GGAGGTACATGGAGACAGATCCTGTCTCCAAGCCGCGCCTGCCTCCCACTGGCAGGCACCACATGTCCCCGTGGGGAGCCCTCAGGGTTGCTGATGGTTCTGGAGAAGAGCCGGCTCACAGCTCCCTGCTGGTGCTGCAGTTGGAATCACCGTGGCTGCTTGGTCTGGCTTTCAGCTGAGCTCTCTCCCGTCCTCCCGGCCTCTTTTATTTATCCATTTATTCATTTAATTTTGGTTCTGGAGGTTGAATCCAGGGTGCTTTACTACTGAGCCACACCCCCAGCCCTTTTACTTTTTCATTTTGAGTCAGGGCCTCCCTAACTTTCTTAGGGTCTTGCTAAGTGGCCAAGGTTGGCCTTGAACTTGCAGTCCTCCCGCCCAGCCTCTGGAGTTGCTGGAATTACAACTGCCCTGTCCAGCCCTCCAGCCCTCTGGAGGTGCAGCAGTCCTGGAGGGGAGACCCTGGGTGATAGCCTAATTACATGTCTCTTTCTGCCTGGCTGCTCTCTGTTTACTGCTGCTCTGAGATGCTAAGTGATTTGAAGACACAAACCAGTTGGCACGTGGGTAGTTGAGGCCAAGTCTCTCCTCTGTGACTCTGAACTGTCATCAAGTTTTGGTGACCTGAAGGGTGGCTGTGCTTGGGCCCCACAGGGATGTTTGGCCTCTAAGCTGTCCTGTTGTCCTCAGGTATGGCCCTGTGGGGCTGCTGCATGTGGACGCCCACCTGGACACAGCCGACAAGGCCCTGGGGGAGAAGCTCTACCATGGGACACCCTTCCGGCGGTGCGTGGAGGAGGGGCTCCTGGACTGTCAGCGGGTGGTGCAGATTGGCATCCGGGGCTCTTCCATGACCCTGGATCCCTACAGATACAACAGGAACCAGGTGACAGACTGAATGCCCCCCAACTCCTCTCCGTTGCCTATCACGTGGCCAGGGCTTTGCTAATCAAGTTCAAGGTGGGGTCAAAGGGCTGATTTTGCTTCAAGAGGGTCATGTGGCATGTGGAGTGAGGGTGCTAGTAAGGCAGAGGAGGCCTGTTTGGGGGCTGGGGAGGCCAAAAGAAACAACCAACCTCTCAGAAAAGAGGTGGGGGTCCCAACACAAGGGACCCCCACCTTCTGATTTCTCATCCTTACCACTTGGTAGAGTGGCTCTGGGGTTAACACAGGATAAAGATCCAAGTGGGAAGACACCTCCCTTGCTGTTGGGGCTTGCCAAGGCAGTGTTCTGGACAGAACCATCCAGAAGGGGCTCTTGTGAGCAGCCCAGGTTCTGTCTCTTGCCTTAGCAAAGCTTCCCTCTGCTCCCTGTTCAGTGCTTGGCTTTGGCCCTGCTCCCTCCCCTTACCTGTGAACCAGGGACAGCAGTTCCTCCCTGTGGAGGCTGAGAGTCGGATGTGATGTGCCCATGAAGAACTGAGCAAGGAGCCAGCCTTGACCTCCTGCTCTTCCATTGCCCTCTCCTCAGGGCTTCCGTGTGGTCCTGGCTGAAGACTGCTGGATGAAGTCGCTGGTCCCTCTGATGGCGGAGGTCCGGCAACAGATGGGAGGCAAACCCCTTTACATCAGCTTTGATATTGACGCCCTGGATCCTGCCTATGCCCCGGGGACAGGGACGCCTGAAATTGCTGGTCTCACCCCTAGTCAGGTAAGGAGCCTTCCCCAGGAAGAGTCCTGGGCCAGGGGAAACTTGACACCCCACTCTCCTAGGACTTGTAGCCTTTAGTATCAGGAGAGGATTTCATGGAACTGGACTTGAATCCAGGGGTGCTCTACCACTGAGCTACATCCCAGTCCTTTTTATTTTTTGAGACAGGTCCTCACCAAGTTGACCAGGCTGGCCTTGAAATTGCCAGCCTCCTGTCTCAGCCTCCCCAGTAGCAGGGATTACAGACGTGCAGCACTGTACCTTGGCTGCGGTGCCCTTAGAATTCAGAAATTGGAAGGATTTCTGAAACAAAATCCTCACCCTCTGCAGATCCTCCTTCTGGGCTTCCTGCCTGCAGGATGGAAACCCTTTCCACGCCATCGTCCTACCTGCCCTCCCTTGTCCTGTCTTCAGGCCACACTCACTACCTGGGCTCCTCCCATCACTGTGTCTGCCCCTTCTTTCCCTGGGCCTGGGATGTCCTCCTTTTCTGCGTGAGCTTAGCCAAGGCCTTGAAATGTTTCCACATTTCGGAAGCCTTCCTCCTCCTCCTCCTCTCCAGGCTGTTACTTGTGCTTTTTCTATTCTGGACTTGCTTTTCTTAAAACCCTTCATACACGACATTGAACAGATTGGCCTGTCTCATCATCAGTGAAGCTCAGGAGCAGGGACCGGGCACTAGTTATTCGTGTCTCTGGGAGGCCACCCGTGTGGCTGCAGTTGATAAAAGCAGGAATTCTAAGGATGGGCATGTGCCCGGAGCAACCTACGGAATCTTCTCCACTGGTCATTTTTCTAAGTTAATGATTACAGTAATGACAACTTACTAGTATGGTTTTAATCTTGGACAGGCTCTGGAGATCATCCGGGGCTGTCAGGGCCTAAACGTGGTGGGCTGTGATCTTGTGGAGGTTTCCCCGCTGTACGATCTCTCTGGTGAGTAAGCAGGAAAACTGACCTGTGGGCAGCTGCTGGCTCACGTTTTCTTTGGCATGGAGGATTGAACCCAGGTGTTCTACCAAAGAGCTGCATTCCCTCAACACCCCACTCCCAGCCCTATTTTTTTTTTTTTTTTGAGAAAAAGAAAAACAAAATTTACTGCTTTGCTAGCAAAGGAGAAACACAGGAGACTTCTGTCCCAGAGGCTGATTCTGCCCATCAGTAGGAAATAGGGAGGGGGTGGGTGGAAGGGTTTAAGGTGACTCTAAGGCTACAGTCCACTGGTCTGTTGAGTTGTAATCCACTTGTTGATTTGGGAGATAGTCATTTCTGAGATCTTCTGGTACCAGCCCCAAAGCCTAGATTACTTCTTTCCTATGGTAGGTGTGTACTCAGGGACACAAAATTGTGCCTAAAATGGGGAAGAAAGGCAATCCCTTTTCCCCTGGATTAGGGAGGAGCATCGAGGGGAAGAGAACCACATCCATTTAAAAAATCAAGTTGCAGTGGCAGAGCAGCAAGGGCTGTATTCAGAGCATAAGGTGGCCCACTGTCGCATGTCCCCATTGCATTTCTATGGAAAAATGGGTGACTACATCTCTAAGCTGCTTCTTGCTGAAAGAGGGTGAAGTTGGGGGAAGTACCCTAAAGCCCTTGTTCTCTATCAGTGGGGCACCTCCCTGCCTTTTTTGGAGTCAGGGTCTCATTAAATCGCCCAGGCTGGCCTTAGACCTGTGAACCTTCTGCCTCAGCCTCTTGGGTAGCTGAGGTTAGAGGTGTGCACCACCACCTCCAGCCTGGGGAACCTGCTGAGTATGTCTGACAGGGGAGAAAATAAGCCTCTATAAATATGAGCAGCAACCCTGATAAAACCCTGGAGGTGCCAGGTATTAATAGCTTGCCCACAACAGGAGGAGATGGGTGCCATGATTTGTCCTCCTCTGATATTTTTTTTTTTTTTTTTTGTGGCACTGAGAATCAAACCAGGGCCTCATACATGCCAGGCAAATGCTCTATCACTGAGCCACAGGCCACATCCCCAACCCTAAAAAGTAAATTTTTTTTTTTTTTGTGGTGCTGGGATTGAACCCAGGGCCTTATGCATGTGAAGCAAGCCCTTTACCAAGGAGCTATAAGTAAGTTCTTAAAGCATAATGTTTACACACAGTGGGGCGTTGGCTGGTTAAGATCTTCCAAGCAGGTGCTGTCCTAATAATTTAAATTTATTTTTGTTTTTTCTTTTGGCACTGGGGACTAGACTCAGGCCCTCGTATGCCCAGGCATGTGCTGTGCCACTGAGCTACACCCCCAGGCCAATAATTTTGATTTAGAAAAGCTCATAAAGTTAGGCCTATTAACCTCAGAGGATAGATATAATATAGTACATGCCGTTATTATAAAATTTCCTTTTGGGGAAAAAGATCTAAGTGTAAACCAAGAAGCTTCTGAATTTCAACTACTATTTCTACTTGTTGCTTGAGGAGGGCAGACTGCCAGGGGGCACCCTCAGGGTGGGAGTTGGGGGATGGGCAGCAGGGAGGGTGGCCATGTGCCCCACTCACCGGGTCTCACTCTTCTGCTTTTGTCCTAGGGAACACAGCTCTCCTGGCGGCTAACCTGCTGTTTGAGATGCTGTGTGTTCTCCCTAAAGTGGCAACTGCCTGAACCTTGTCTCTTCTGGACAAAATGGATGCACTACCAACCACTCCTCAGGAGCTTACTAGCGAGCAGTACTGAAGAGGGTAGGCCAGGACAGCTTGCTGCTCAGAGTCACTGGTGGCTATAGAACAAGGACATTCAGAATTCTAACCCAAACACATTTCTAAGGGTTTCAATTGACTTTAAAAACTGAGGCATTTGACACTGCTTAGGTTTTTTTTTTTTTTTCTTTGATGAAAGATGGAGGAGAACTTCACTCAAGGTCATCTAAAAATGGGATGAAGGAATAAAAAAAATTATGAAAGGATAGTGTACAAAGACTCCACATTTCTATACTCTTCCTTTAAGATAGAGCTCCTTTGAGGAGCTCAGAGCTGCATCTTGGTTTATTTCTTTATTTGCGGTGCTGTGACTGAACTCGGCCTCACTCATGCCATCGCTGAGCCACATTCCCAGCCCCCACATCTTGGTTTCAGGATCACTGAAAACATAAATGATCTTTGAAGAAAACAACATGCAGTTCCTAATAAAGAAATGTCCCCAGAAGCCCAGATAGCATCAGCTGAGCCCTTGATGGACCTTCTAATCCACTCTCTAGGAGACTCAATTTTGCATTATTTACTTTAAGCCAACACACTCTCCTGGCCAGCAGTTCCTGAAATCTGCAGCTGGGCTGTGCTGATCCCAAGTGTTGCTGAGAGAAACTTCAAGATAATCATCTTGCAGTTCAAGAGCTACCCACAGTAATCACACATTAAAATAGTTTATTTGTTTCCAGTCTGTAATGTTCTTAAAACAAAATAATATCAGCTTCAGTGCCTGTTCACAATACAAAAAAACAAAACTTAAAAAACAACAAACAAAAAACCCTAAAACATAAAAAAGACACAATTTGCCAAATAAGTTATTCGTTCCTAAGGGTATCAAAAGTGCAAAATAGTCACCTTCTTAGTTATGTCTCCCAAGTACCATCATCTTTCTGAATAAACTCAACAGGGTCAGCAGCTGCCATATGGCGTGTGTTTTTCAAGAGACAATGTAAGTTGAGGCTAAGAGTGTTTTGCATGTTTCTTTATTTTGCAGTGCTAGGGTTGTAGGCAGGTGTAGCCACTCCCCAGGCCCTGTATCAGCTTTAGTAGTTTTTTTTTTTTTTGTGGCGCTGAGGATTGAACCCAGGGCCTTCTGCACTAGATGCAAGCACTCTACCTACTGAGCTGTATCCCCGCCCCTGTATCAGTTTTTAAGGAGTTCTATTTTAAAGGGACCCAAAACAAAACAAGGCTGGGTGTTTGTTTCCAATTTCTATTCCCAAACAAAGCAAATCACTTAACAATAGTTCCCCTGTCTTTCTACACCAGGGGAACTCTTAAGCACTAATGGCAGCTGCAAACTGATTAGGATGATAATAAGTAACAGGCTAGAGTAGAAGAGGATGTGAATCAGGAGGAGTTCTACCTATTTGAAAACCACAACCCAGCTCTCCTGGGAGACCAGGATGCCTCCCAGGCGGGGCAGTCCTGCTGGTGGAGAGGAAGGGCCAAGGACGTCAGTGTTAGACAAATACCTGAGCGATAAACAAGTATTTCTGAGATGGGAGTGTATTCTACAAAGACTCACTTCAGGCTAGTTCTCATTCCTCTGCTAAACATGACGCACAGTCTGTACAGACCAGAAATACCCACCTCTGAGAACTTTATCAGCGTTGATATTTGAAGTTACACCCCAACTGGGTTCGGTGATTACGTACATCAGAATGAGAAGTGGTGGCACTGGCTGAGTGTGACAACGGCTCGTACATTTGACACAAAATAAAACTCATGGAAATAACATTCAGGAGGAAAGGCTTGCATGGTTAAGGATAAAGCTCCCTAGCGTCCTTGTGGAACACATCTACCAGCCCCCAACAGAGCTGCAGAATTTTTGGACTGAAATATTTGCTGGGATTATTGTCAACTCCAGTCACCATTTTCCTTTCCTAGTGCAAATGGAAAGTGCAGTGGTCTGTAGGTGCTCTTCATTTTAATGGTACAAAAAGGGGGGGAAAATCGGGGGGAGTTTTTGGTTTTCCATTAGTACCAGAAATTAAAAACAAAAGCCTGCCAATGGAACAGAGCACTGTTCACATGAGCAACAGGCCATAAAAAAATCCAGACAACGGCAGGGCACAGTGCACCTGTGATCCCAGTGGCTCCAGAGGCGAAGGCAGGAGGATCACAAGTTCAAAGCCAGCCTCAGCAACTTAGCGAGGCCCTAAGCAACTTAGTGAGACCCTGTCTCAAAAAATAAAAAGGGCTGGGAGTGTGGCTCAGTGGTAAAGTGTCCCTGGGTTCAGTCCCTAGTATCCAAACAAAACAAAACCCCAGAAATTAATTTTAAGGACTGGTGTATCAAAGAGCTAAGGAGCTCCCGGGGCTGGGTGCCACGAGACAGGGATTCCAGAGTGAGCATCCACTTCCAAAGGATCGTGGGAAGAATGAAGCCCTGGCAGTGATTTATTTATATTTAAATAAAGCTCTAGACTGACTCCATGAAGCTGTATGAATTCCTGGGCTCATATGATTTATTATTTACCACTGTAGCTCAAGGTTTAAATTATTCAGGATCCAAGTGGCTTGGTTTAAAGCAATTATGATTAAAGAAATACTAACTCAGTAAATGACCCATCCCTGATTTTTGCCCTTTACTCTACAAAAGGGCATTTGCTTTGACAGACAGACCACTCTTGGAAATTGTTCAAATTCCCGGTGGTCTGGCCCTAAAAACAAAGGCCTGCCCTCAAGGGGCCCAGAGCCCGTGTAGAGTGTGCAGCAAACCCACAGCTGACCATCGAGGGAGAGGGGAACAGCGACAAAGCCGTAGTGCCAAAGCACAGCCAGAGGCGGAAGGCAGGCTGCTTGCAAAATGGGCCTAGAGTCCGTCTGAGCTCACCTGTCACAAAAGACGACTTGAAGACAAAGCATTTTTTGGGTAACAGTGTTCAAAATACAGCTGTTGAGGGTTTAAGTTCCTTGATACAAAGATGTGTCTAGAGTGTTACTAGACAGACGCCACCGGAGTGAAGAGCTTCCTCCCCGACTCTGGCAGGCAGGAATAATCTGTTTTCAGTCTGACATCTACTGGCTTTATATAGCAGCTTATCTACGTTCAGAGAACAAGATCACAAGTTATGGCTCCTAATATCCACATCCTACAATCACAGGCAGAAAGGCATCTGAGAACGTACAGGTCAATGGCTCAAAGTCATGACAGTGCTCTTGCTGGGCAGACTCCTCCCCAGGATTGGGGGGGGAATGATGTGATGCTCACAAAGGATCCCTCCAGACCTCCCTTCCCTGGCTGGGGAGGAAAACCAGGCTCCTATGCGGAGACCCCACTAGACCCTTTCCTTTCAAAGCTGTGGCTGGCAAACTGCTGTGGGGGATCCCCTGCAAGATGCACTTCTTGCCACTGACTCCCAGAACCACCACTGTGCATGAGACTGCTTGGCACCAGGCCTCGTTCAAGGGGCAGGCCGAGAAGGCAAGGTGGTGGTCAGGGTGGGGAGCATGCGCCTGGGCAGAAGCTCAGCAGGGGCCAGCGCCGGCCTGAGGGTGCGCAGGGGCAAGTGACTGGACTTGTGGGACAGGCTCCTGAGGTTCCGTCTGGGTGCCGCTGTTTCTCCAATGAAGGGCCAGGAAGGGGCAGGTGGTGTGAGCCCGGGACAGGGGCAGCAAAGAGGAGGGAAGGAGCAGTCTATTTAAATAGTGCGGCATTCAACTGAAGTCAAAAAAACCCAAAGGGAAATATTTTGATCTAGAGAATTCGAACCTGTAGCGTGTTTCCCTCCCAGGTGAGGACGGGAGTGAGGGCCGGACGGAGAGGTTCTTCCCACCACTGTTCTAAAAGAGAAATCTAAAATCTATGCTTTGTCCGTGGTGATTGAGTCCTGAAAAATACCTTTTCCTGGGGCATGTTAAAAAGCTGGAGAGTTCACATCTCTTTCTGAAGCCTCTCAGTCTAGCTCGGGCCAGGAGGGGATGTAGAACCTCTGCAGGGACCCTTCCAACAGGCGCTCCATCCACAGGGACAACTTGCTCAGCTTTCCCTTGATTGGCCGGGGTCCCAAGCCGCAGGAGGGTCTCCCCCGAGACTCGCCCAGGGGGAGGGAGGGGTCGAGGTCACCGCAGGACCCCATGGCCTCCTCCTCTTCCACTGTTTTTTGGGGTTTGAAGAGGCAGAAGTATTTCTTGTGGCCGTTCAGGGCCAGGACGTAGCCAGTGTAGTCCCGCTCCAGGAAGTGCTTGTCATACTGGTTGGGGATCGGGGCTGCGTCTTGAGCAAATTCCAGTAAGTATTCCAGCCACTCTCTGTGCTTGTCCAGGCTCAGGAAGGAGAAGTGCAGGCAGCTGCTGCTGTGGGGAGAAGGGGCAGACTCAGGGGGCTTCCCACGCCAGTCAGACTGGAAAGGACAGGAAAAGGAGGGGCCTGGACACAGGAAGAAGCCCTAGGGCCTGTGACAGTCCCTTGGCTCACTCACCCGCCCCCACCCATTGCTGGCTCAGAGAGTGGCAGGGACAGTCTGTTTTCTGAAGGGCTCAGGGAGCAGCATGGATTTCAAGCTCTGTTCTGAACAGAGAGATCATGAAAGCTGAGGGGGAAAAGAGGGCCCCCCTGATGGCCTGATGATGTGTCTAAGACCCAGCTGCATGGATCAAGCCCACAGCCACAGAGCAGTGGGCACGGTGGTCCCCGGGGGTCCTTCACCCAAAGGTGCATACCTGCTCCCTCTCTCCCTGCGGCTTCCACACCCCTGCAGACTCCTTGAAGGCGGTAAACTTACAACCCCTCAGGAAAAAGGAAACTTGGGGCTCTGATCTCTTGTCATTTCCCAGATCTGTCCAGGTTTCCGTGACCCCCAAAAGTATCTGACCAACTCCTCCCCTGATAGGCGCTAATTAAACCCTACACAGCTCAGCCCTTGGCGTAGCCAGAGCCAGTTCCCTCTGGAAATTGTGCCCCTCCACTGCTTAGCAAAGCACCTCTGATCCGCTGAGGTCTTTTCCTTTCTGGGTTCTCTTTCCTCACACCACGCTTACCCAGTGAACGAGTACACCTCCAGGGCAAACTTCTGCAGCAGGCTGTTCTTGGTGGAATTGGACAGGATGAGGACCACATTCATGTGGCCTGGCCTAAGGCGCACCAGGTTGCTGGTGTATGTCACATCGGTGAGTTCTGTTACCTCCACGAAGCCTTTCTTCGGAATCTTGCTGTGGGGAAACGGGGAGAAGTTGTTACCAGGGCAGCTGATGCCACTACTTTAAAAGGGAACAAGTTGAATGATACGCTGTGTTCTTTTTTTTTTTGTACCAGGGATTGAACCCAGGGGTGCTTAACTACTGAGCCACGTCCACAGCTCCCTTTATTCTATTTTTTATTTTTAGACAGGGTCTTGCCGAGTTGCTTAGGGCTCACTAATTTGCTGAGGCTGGCTTTGACCTTGGGATCCTCCTGCCTCCATCTCCTGAGCTGCTGGAATTACCGGTGTGCGCCACTGCACTTGGTTGAGAGGCTGTATTTGAACCACACCATGTTATTTAATAACTACTGTGATGTGGCAGGACAAGACAACCTTGATTTAGTAAGTAGCCCTTGGCCTACAGCAGCCCTTCTCCCGAGGCTGAAGGGTGGCACTACGGAGGCAGCCATTGGTCTGCTTTGTCGCAGAGACCCAGGTCCCTCGATGTTGGTTGTGTGCTCTCAACAGATCAGTCATCAACACTATTATGAATTATGGTGACATG